GTGATCCTCCTGTTTACAGCCTCCCAAGAGCTGGGATTACAGGCACATGCCACCATGTCCAGTCTCAACTGCCATCTCGTGGTGCCTGGGGGCAGGGCCGGCACTACAGGCCCAGGGATCGAACCTCAGGCCCCTGCACCTGCTTGTAGGCACTTTAATCTGCTGAGCTATTTGGCTAGCCCTTGTCATGATTTACAATGGGGTTACATCCTAACCCACCATAAGTTAAAAATACCATTGTATTGAAAATGCATTTAATATGTGAACTGCTGAATATCCTAGCTTAGCATCACAGTCACAGTCACGTGATGGTGTGGCTGACAGGGAGCCCAGCATTGTGAGAGCACCCTACTGCATGCCACTAGCCTGGCAAAAGACCACAACTCAGAAATTGGTGTTTTTTGTTTTTTGACAAGGTATTGCCATGTAGTTTAGGCTGGCCTTGTACTCATTATGTAGCCCAGATTGTCCTGGAATGCACAGTGATCATCCTGCCTCAGTTTCCCAAGTGCTGGGATTACAGGCATGAGTCACCAAGTCCGGGCCACAATGCAGATTTGAAGTGAACCTCCTATTGATTGCATTACCTTTGCTAGGTTACAGGAAGTTGAATCATCATGCTCAGTGAGCATATTTTGGTTATCCTTTAAGATGGACTTCTTTCTTTAAAATTTTTAAAAATATATATATTTAGTACAGGGTCTACAGGGTACAGCGTCTACAGGGTCTCAATACATAGATTGGACTCAGTGATTCTCTTGTTTTCAGCCTCCCAAGTGCTAGGATTACAGGCGTGTGCTACCATGCCCAGTCTCAATTGCCATCTCAGCATGCTCCGGGGGCGGGGCCAGCACCACACTCGGGGATGGAACTCTGGCCGCTGCCCTGTGCCTAAGCAGGCGCTTTAGTCTACTGAGCTGTTTGGCCACCCCTAGATGAACTTCTTGCACTTAGCATAAGATGTGGTTCACCATGTTTATCAGTACTTCCTTACCTTTTCATGGCCAGACAATATTGCATTGTATGGTTCCACTCGATTTTGATTATCGCTCATTAGCTCATGGGCATCGGGTTGTTTCCACTGACTCATATGAGTGAGTGACATCTGTGTGCAAGTCTCACCATCTCGTTTTAACCCTTAGCAGCCCTCTGAGGAGTGGGTCCTTAAAGAATGAGTATGTGTCCCGTGCAGCATGTTTGGATATTTGTGGAAGAACAAACAGAAGGGGTTGAGAAGTGCTCAGAGAGCGGGAAAGCAGCTCTACCTGGCACAGCAGTACATTGACATGTGATTCCTCTGCACCACTGTGTTGACGATAGTCAACCCATGGGATTTGGGCTCACAGGGCAGGTGCCTTCCCTGGGGCAGTCCCATGGTGGCAGGGATAGCTTGCTTGTGACCACATGCTGAGGCAGCCGGTACCTTGGGGGCACTGTGGCAGGTGGCTTCCTATGAGGCATGACCTGTGGATCGCTTGTGCCTGGCCAATGCCCAAGCCTGTGTTAGTCAGGCCACCTTGAGAGTTCCCTGGGAGAGACACTACTCACTCTGTTTCTTCTGTGGTGCCCCTTGGGAGTTACTATCACACTGGGCTGCCTGCCTGTCTGCCTGGGAAAACCTTGCCCTGACATCTGTCTCCTTTTTCCTCGTTTCAGGGGAATACATCAAGACCTGGAGGCCTAGGTACTTCCTGCTGAAGAGTGATGGCTCCTTCATTGGCTATAAGGAGAGGCCCGAGGCTCCTGACCAGACTTTACCCCCTTTAAACAACTTCTCTGTAGCAGGTGTGTGTCAGGCCAAGCAGGCCAGGGTTCCAGAGCTCAGGGAAAAAACAGCTGGCAGGTCTTGGTTGGAGGAGCCTGGAGTGCCTCATTCTTGACCTAGAGGCCTATTCTGGACCTTGCTGTCATAGCTGTTTCCCTGCCTTCTCTTGCTGTCCCTCTTCAGCTGGGCCCTATGGGGCTATCCCAGGGGGAGATGGAGCTTGAGAGGTGAGAATCCAAGGGTGTTTCTGTGCAGCCAGCCCTGGCCCTATGTATCTGCCCTGCTCTGGCAACAGTTCCTCCCTTTGTCCCTCTGAACTGGAAGGGTTGTGGCTTCTGACGCAGCTGAGGACAGCATTATGCTCACGTCCTTGGTTCCCTCTGTGGTATTCTAAGTGGTATTTGTTTTCTAGCTGGACCAGCTTCCCAAACCTAAAGTCCTTGCCTGGTCCTTGGAACACGATCCTGCCCTTGGTCTCCTGCCCCCTGCCTCCTTCCTTCCCAGCTGACCTGGTTGGCAACCTGTCTTGGTTATCAGACCTGCTGAGAATGCTTCATGGACAGCCCCTTCTTCAGACCTACCAGTGTACCCCACCCTCATCTTCTCCCCAGCTTCACCCCTGCAATCCCCCAGTCCCCACACTGTTCTGCAGAACATATTCTCCTGGGTCTTCTCTCCATGTGCCTGTGGCTTTGAAACGTGTGGTAGCCCTGGTGTCTCTCTTCCACCATATGTTTTCTGCAGCTTCTTGAACACTGTCTCTTTAATGTCCTGCCCCAGACTGACCTTCCACTTTCCCTCCCCATTTCCATCTCAGGAATAGCCCCATTGTGCCCAAGGCCTGGGCCAAAGTACCCTCTTGTCCTGTGACCTGCTGCCCTTGCCCCAGGCCTGTGCGCCACTCTGCATTAGTGTGTCCTCTTTAGTTGGGTCCTGCTGTAGCCTCTTCCCTGGCTCCCGGCCTCCACCTCACCCACCATAGCAGCCAGGATCATCTGTCTTGGACTAATCATGTCCCTTCCATGGTTCCCTGATACCCTAAAAAAAAGTCCTGACTCCTCCCCATGGCCTTCAAAGCCCTGCATGGCCCCAGCTTTTCTGTCTTGTCTCCTCTCATGCTTGAAGCAGGGTTGGCTCATGGATATTTTGGGCCCCCTCACCTCACTGACTCAGCTTCCTTTTCTTCGGGGCTCAGTTCAGAGGCGCTGCTTCCTCAGGGCTGCTCCAGGCTGGGTTGGATGCCTCTTCTGGCTTGTGTCATCCCTGCCCCAGGACCAGTTGGTGATTATCTGCCAGTATGGCTGCCTTTTGCGCATGCTTGACTTGGAACCTTGTGAGGACAGGGTTGGGGCCTGTCAGTCTATCATGGGTTCCCAGCACTACCAGAACACGGGAAATCACTGAAGATCTAGGGCTGGATGCCAACCATCTCTTCCCTCAACTGTAGAATGCCAGCTGATGAAGACAGAGAGGCCGCGGCCTAATACTTTTGTCATACGCTGCCTGCAGTGGACCACGGTCATTGAGCGGACCTTCCATGTAGACTCTCCAGATGAGAGGTGAGTCTGGGCCTCCATGTGGCTGCCCCTTGAGAATGGCCGGGCCTGGTGGGAGGGGAGGGGAGCAGATGGACAGATTTCCACTATACCCTACAGTCCACAGTTTTAGTCTGCAGCCATTGTAGTGTGGGATTTTCCCAGCTGGAGCTGAGAAGAGCTGGGGTTCTTGATGTGAAAACCTTACTCTGCAGACTTGAGGGCACCACATAGTCATAGGCAGAGCTTTCACTTGGCAGTCACAGAGTATATGGTGTTCCTAATGCATGCTTTGGTTTTGAAGCACTGGTTGAGAGTCTATTAAAAATCGTTTAATAATCAGAAGAAATGGTAGATTCTTTTGGTTCAAAAGTCAAACCACAATGGGCTGATGAGATGGCTCAGTGGTCTAAAGCGCCTACTTAGAACAAGCTTAGCAAAAACAAAGGGACTGCGGTTCAATCCCCCAGCACCACATGTCAGCCAGCCTTGCCCCCTGGTGGGCTGAGCTGGCCACACAAATAAATAAATAAATAAATAAATAAATAAATAAATAAAAAAAAAAAAAAAGTCAAACCACTTTCGGATCCGCCATCTGTGGTGGAACTGCCACCAAGATGCAGATTTTTGTGAAAACCCTATGGGGAAGACCATCACACGCGAGGTTGAACCCTTGGACACTATAGAAAATGTAAAGGCCGAGATCTAGGATAAGGAAGGAATTCCTCCTGATCAGCAAAGGCTGATCTTTGCTGGTAAGCAACTGGAAGATGGACGTACCTTGTCTGATTACAACATTCACAAGGAGTCTACCCTTCATCTTGTGTTGAGACTCCGTGGTGGTGCTAAGATAAGGAAGAAGAAGTCTTACGTCATTCCCAAGAAGAATAAGCATAAGAGAAAGAAGGTTAAGTTGGCTGTCCTAAAATACTATAAGGTGGATGAAAATGGCAAAGTTAGTCGTCTTCGTCGAGAGTGCCCCTCAGATGAATGTGGTGCAGGACTTTTTATGGCCAGCCACCTTGACAGACATTATTGTGGCAAGTGTTGTCTGACTTACTGCTTCAACAAACCAGAAGACAAGTAATTGTGAGTTAATAAAAAACTTCAGCTAAAAAAACCCCCCAAAAACCCCACAAAAGTCAAACCAAGGGCCAGATAGCTTAGTGGACTAAAGCGCCTGCTTAGGCAGAGCACAGCAGCCAGGTTCGATCCCTGGAGTGCTGTGCCAGCCTTGCCCCCGGGACGTGCTGAGATAGCGACTGAGACTGGGCATGGTGGTGTGTGCCAATAGTCCCAGCACTTGGGAGGCTGAAAACCGGAGAATCACTATCTACATGATGAGACCCTATAGACCCTGTCCTAAATACATTTAAAAGAACAAATGAATAAAGAGTCAAACTAGGGTTGGGAATGTGGCCCAGCAGGTAAGGTGATGATTCTACCCCAGCTCCTCAAAACAAAAAATTTAGACCTTCACTGCCACATCTTCCCCATCTGTCCATCCTCCCTCCCTCAGTAAACACCATGTTCTGTTCTAGAAGAGCAGATGGGGACCTTGGCAGCCTCCAGGTCGTGTCACCCCACTTGGTTCTGAACTTGCTTCTCTCACTTTCCAGTGCATTGTGGTGCGCCCTTTGGGCTCCATGTCTATAGAACTGCCACCATCACTACAATGTTTTGCCTTTTTCACAGCTGGACAGTTGTGTCCCTCGGTTTGCTTAGTAGTTCGTTAATGGTGATGGTAGTTCCCAGCCTTTGGCTTATTACAAGCAGTGCTGCAGTGAAGTTTCCTGTGTACGTGGGTCTGTCTGGACAGTGAATTCTTAGATGTAGGATTGTGATCACAGGAATATCCATTTATAAATTCAAAGGATGTGTCTGTTAGGACATGACTCTGACTGTCCCCCCAGCCTGTTGTTTTCAAGTATTTGCATTTTTGTCAGTCTGAGCAGAGAGAAATTGCAGGAGGTTTGTCTGTCTCTGGATGAGTTTGACCCTCAAAGGCCATGTGTGCTTTTACCCTGAACTGCCTGTATTGTTTACTTCTTTTTTTATTGGGTAGCTGGTCTTTTTCTTTTCTCACTTATATTTGAACTTGACCCTTTGTAATGCGTGGCAAACATTTTCCCTCCCACTTTATCCTTTTGGACCTTTGTTTGAGAAACAGTCCCCAGGCTTACTGGTAGGGCAGGACTTTGACTGGACCCCCAAGAAAGCCTAAAAGAGGACCTTTCAAGAAAGCTCCTACCCTACTGGGAATGCTCTGGGTCTGCATTGTCCACCACAGGGGTCACTGGTTGTGTGTGCCTCTTGAACATTTGAAGTATGGTGACAGAGGGATGGGGCGGATTTTTGCTTTAGTCAGTTTTAGTAGCCTTCCATGTAGCTAGTGGCTACCCTCAGACACTGCAGTTGTAGCCTGCACAATGCTGTATCACAAGATGCAACCACAGTCTATACTGTAATTATTGTTGCATATCTCCCTGAGGTTAAAAATACACTTGCCCCACAAGGGGAACAGAATTGCTGTTTTGGGCCAGCAGTAGTGTTAGTTGAATACTAAAGACCAAACCATGGGCTATCTGAGAAAGCAGCTCTAAGTCCCTAGAACCTGGTGTTGGAATGAGTTTTGAGCGATGGCTTGGAGTTGGCCATGGTCTGTGGAAAAGGACTGGGCTGCTATGGGGACGCCAGGAGGTGAAACAGTTCGTATGTTTCAGGGACCACAGCAGGCTCTGTGTCACCAGAGAATCAAGGGGCAGGCGCCTTGGAAGAGGGGAGATGGAGGCTCTACAGGCTGGAGAGCCTTGCCAGGAATTTTGGCCCCCAGATGGAGATCCCTGCAGGGCTTGGCAGGCACTTAATAAACTGGGGTTTATCCCAGCGTTGGTAAAGAGATTCAGGGGGATGATAAACAGGAAGCCCTTGATTTAGCAAACCTGGCACATGGTTTGCAAGCCTGGAAAAGGAGCAGTGGGGAGCCGCCAGAGCAGCTTAATAGGCCAGAGAGATGCTCTAGTTTAAATTTTTGCATGATTGGTACCATTTAGTATGGGGAAGCTCCTGTTATTGGGACGGGGGCGGGGGCCTGAATGTTCCCCTCCCCCAGGTCAGCTCCAGAGACAGCAAACCTCTGATTTCTGACCCAGGCCCTGAGGAGCCAGGAATCCAGCAAGGGGGAAGCTTATTCACTCTGCTCATGGCTGGCTGATGCTGTCCTTGCCGCCTCACTCCACGTGGGCCTGAGCTCCCTGGTTGTCCTGAGCCCCAGGAGAGACAGGGTGGCAAGGTTGACAGCAGGCACGCTGGGGCTGGCCACCACCTGGGCGCTCCAGGGCTGCCTTGCTGTGCCTTCGCCATATGTGCTCATGTGGCTGTTGTATGCCAGAGATTTTGCGCTTTTCCATTTTATTCTTTTGTGCTGAATCCTGAGCACCTGTCTGTACTTTACTCCATACTGTCAGTACCCCGCTCTCTGTTTAGTGTACATCTGCTATAAATAGGGGTCTTCTCCTGTGTCACCCCTGAGACACAAGTTGACTATCCATAGTCTGAAAGTCTGAAGCTGGGGAGATAGTTCAGGGACTAAGTACCTGCTTGGCAAGTGTAATGACCCTGGTTCAACCCTCAGCACCACATAGCATGTCAGCTGCCAAAACCGGGCCCGCTGAGCCAGCCACTTAGACTAGGCTTGGTGGCACATGCCTATAATCCCAGCACTGGGGAGGCTGAG